GAAATTTATTTTAAGTTCGTAAAATAGCTAAGCGCCTATGTTTCATGATGATGTGAAAATGGAGTGTGTAGAGTAAAATCTCGCTTTCCTATAGCCCATTATGTCTCAAAATGACGCGATTTCGTCACAAAACATAAAATTTAAAAAATTCTAATTCAAATTTTGAAAAAATCGCTTTGAGGTGCACTGGCTATTGTCTAGATGCGCCTATGTACTAAATTTCGTAGCCGTGGGTCTATTAGCTTACGCGCAAGCGCGAACAGACAGACTCTTTTATTATATGTAGAGATTAATTGCTAGCTCGTCCCATTAGTATCATTATATTTTTCTTTTTTATGACTGTTGCCTTTTTTTAAGCAGTTGGCTGTGCAAGCTATGGCTAATACGTTAAAAGAGCTAAGTATAAAGGGCTAGTATGTTAAAAGACAAAGAAAAAAGGAAAGCAAAAATAATAAGAAAGTTAATTTGTAAAAATAGTCTTTCAAAATGTGATATTTAAAATATACAAAAAAAGTGCAGCTACGTCAGGAATTGATCATTTCCGGTACTTAAACGTTAGCGCAGTCACCTTATAAGGTATTTCTCCCACTTTCTTAGCGTGCCTTCGTGGTGTAGTGGTCAGCACACTGAGCCGGTATTTCAGAGGTCCGTGGTTCGATTCCCGGCGAAGGCGTTGCTAATTTTTCATCTTGCCTGCTTCCAAAAATACCTAATACCTCTACAACGATATCGAATTTTCTCAGATTGCGCCAAACCATAGCAACCATGCTCATAAAAATTCTTCATGCAATCATACATAGTTCTTCAGTTAGTTCTAAAACAAAACATACGCTTATGAGATTTGCATGGTAGTAGAAAACTTGCGTTGTAATTTCTGCAGAAATACAGTATTTTTGTTCGCAAATTTACTAAACGGAACAACTGCTTTGAACTGCTCTTAAAACAATTACTATAAAATTTCTACTAGGGACAAAAAAAAGGGGAGGGAGAAGAAAGAAAAGGAAAAGAAGCATTAACCCCCCCCCCCCCCCCCCCCGCTTTCATGTAGGTTTATTGATTGATTTTCAAAATAAATTATAGAAGGCATAATAATAATCTGCTTGTGCGTAATTAAAAATTCTTTGCAATTACAAATCATCCCCTGTAAAAGTGAGCCAAACTGTGACAAGGTGGCTACGTTAATATATAAGTACCTATTTTCCACTTTGCACACCTGTTCATCTTTTACTATTGATGAAGAAATTTCATTTCATGTTCTTGAAAAATTTTTAATCATTTTTATGGAGGAAAAAATATTAAACTTAGATTATTTTAATTTATTACTCTCTGAACTGAAATTTCTGAACCAATTTTTCGTAGCCGTGGGTCTATTAGCTTACGCGCAGCGCAAACGAAAGACAGACAGACACACACACACAGACTCTTTCTTTTATTATATGTAGAGATTAAATTTGTATTTTAATCTAATACAAATTTATATTAATTTTTTTCTATAAGTATATATTAAATAACCTATATTGTATAAATATTGAATGGATTGCTGATTGATCACCTACCATAGTCAGTTTCATTTCTGTGGATATTTATAACATTTACTACAAAATCACACTTATGCCTGAACTGCACTAATAGCTTTTCTCTTGCCCAAACTACTATTACTAAAACAATTATCATTTATGTACAGTATATGTTACACCCACTACATGTGTATTTCAATATTAAACAGTGTTATAATAACAGTATAATTTTTCATAAGAACGGATTAAATATGTTCTCATTTTTAATTATTAGAAAAGTTTGTCTGAGATATATCCAAGGAAATGAAATGGATTAATGATGTATATCCTAGGACCACAGTACTTTATTTTAGATCAGTCCTAAACCTTAATAAAAATAACTGTCAAAGATACATATAGCAAATTCGGTAAGAAATACAGTAAATCAGGGATGATCAACATGCGGCCTGCAGGCCACTTGCGGCCCGTTAAACATTTTTATGCTGCCCGCCAAGCATTTCTAAAATTGAATTTATTTTGTCGACTTTCTCTCATTAATATATTGTTATAAAAATAATTATAATAAAATGGTATTACATACTAAACCGAAACAATTTTTTGAGGCGAGTTCCTCACTTGTCGGCGACTTGTTCAAGCATGCAATACAAACGCACTGCATCTGTGCTTGTTTGTGTTTGCTTTTGTCACACAATCAGTCAGACTGGTAAGCTGCTAACTAGTAATTTTAGCAATTCTTGTGTTTCTTGAAAGGCGTGAGTGCAATATTATTGTCAAAAAGGTATAGGCTACATAGCCGTACTCGTGCTGCCAAGCCATTTTCAGGTAGTGACATCTATTGATAGAAAACGAAAGTGCTAATAACTACTACTACTTTCGCTTCTAGCCGGGAATTCCTCGTCTCATGTTAACAGAGTAGTTACGTTCTTAAAAAGTAGAAGTCATGCACTAGAGTGAAGAAATAAAGATGTTGTAATGCAAAAGTAGATTTTTGCTTTTTGAACATTGCAAACAACAAAAACATTGCAGCGGTAATAAAGGTAATATTAGAGTTTATTTATTCAAAATTAAGTTTTCCGACATTTTTTTTTTTTATTTTCACAATTTTAATCCATAATAGCATGTCAGAAAAGCAAGCAGCAAAAAAAAAAAAAAAAAAAAACCGGAAAGGTTGAAGATGAGCACAGGCATTTCCAAGAAAAGTGGAAATTTGATTACTTTTTCACTTTTGTCAAAATAAAGCTGTATGCATAATATGCTCAGAGACTGTGTTGACATTAAAAGAATATAACATAAAAAGGCATTACGATACAAAACATGAACAGCAATATAAAAACTTAACAGGACAAGTCCAGATAGATAAGTTTAAACAAATGGAGAAAAACTTGGGAAAACAACAGGCTATTTTTAAAAATCAAACTATTTTATCAAATACTGCAGTAAAGGCTAGTTTTTTTGTCAGTCAAATACTGGCAAAATGAAACCCTTTGCGGATGGAGAAATGATAAAAGAATGTCCGACTGCTGTTGCAGAAATAGCTTTTCCTGATAAAATAAATATTATTTCAAACATTAGTTTATCAAGATTCACCATTGCAAGGAGAATTGAAGACTTGTCCGAGAGCATAGCAACAACGCTTCGTGAATGCATTGCAAAATTCAAATACTGTTCTTTGGCACTTGATGAGAATTGCGATATTAGCGATACAGCACAACTGGCTATGACACCAAAATTTAATTACGTGGTATTGACACCAAATTTAATATTACAGAAGAATAGTGTTCACTGATTCCAATGCAAGGGACTACAACTGGCAAAGAGCTGTACGATGAACTAAAGTCTGTGTTGGAAAATTTTTCAATTTCATTAGAAAAGATTGTTGGTATATCGACAGATGCAGAATGAGCAATGTCAAGCATGGAGGTAGGAGTATTGGGAAGGCTATTTCAAGACATTAAGAAGATCACAGGAAGGGAAATATTCGTTAACCACACCAGGAAAATTTGTGTGCAAAAAGACTGAGTTTGCCAAATGTCACAGTACCAATAATTAAAATAATTAATTTTTTAAAGTCGCGCACATTAAAACACCATGAATTTAAAGAATTTCTGAAAGATTTAGATGGCAACGTGGTTTTTAATACTGAAATACGTTGGCTTAGTAGAGGTGCAATGCTAAAGAGTATACAACTTAAAAAGCAAAATACAATTGTTCTTGGATATGAAGGGATATCCCTTTCCTCATTTTGGTAATAAAGAATGGATGTGCGATTTTGAGTTTCTTATCTACATGACTCAGCATCTCAATGATCCTAATGTGGAACTTTATTCACAATTTGTACGACAAAATTCAGGGCTTAGAGTGCAAATTAAAATTGTGGAAACAGCATCTTTTGCAGAATAATGTGTCTCACTTTCACATTTAGAAAACGAAAACTAAACTAAAAAATGTGCACAATATAGAGACATTTTAATCAACGAATTTCAATTACGATTCCAAATGTTCAAAGCTGAGAAGACAGCTGTTTCCATGAAAATGTTTTCCTTGCCATTTAATATCGATGTGGATACAGTTCCTGAAGACTTTCAAATGGAAGTGATCGACATGCAGAATAATACCGATTTAAAAAATGTATTTTGCTCAGTAAACATCGAAAATTTTTATAAATCTTATGTGAGCCCAGAGAAATTTCCGTTTTTGACGAAAAATGCAAAGCAAATGATGTCTCTATTCGGAAATACGTATGTTTGCGAACAATTATTTTCAATCATGAAATTAATCAAAAATGACCATCGATCAAGACTGAGTGATGCACGATTAGAAAGCTGCGTACATGTAGCTACCTCATCAATTCCAACTGATATTGATCAGCTTGTATCGAAAAAACAGTGGCAAATTTTTCATTAAAAAATTTCAAGTAATTTCAAGTAAATTCGTTTTTTTCGTTTTTCTGTTCTTTTCTTATTTGTTTTTATTTTGCATTAAAATTTGTATATAAAATCTTTACTTTTTTAAAAATTTTTTATTTTTTTTTTTTAATGTTTATTATAAATAAAGTTTTGTAAATTATTAATAATGGTTACTTTATGTGTGGCCTGCCAAAAAATTTTTAAATTGGCCCGTTGATTAAAAAGGTTGCTCGCCCCTGCAGTAAACCATTGTGTTATTGACAGATTTTGCTGTATTTCATACTTTAAATTTTTTAAAAGTCATGAAAAACTGTTTTTTAACTTTTATAAGTCAATGTACCATTAACAAATGACACAGTAGTATGAATTCTGTTTCTATTTTCTGAGATAAGGATTTTATATATATTTTACATAAAGCTGACAGTGATCATATTCTGAAGATTATTTAAAATTTGACATGGGTAAGACTGACACTCAAATGCCAATAGAATCAAAAATACCAAAAACAAACTTTTTTTTTAATCTTTTTATTACAAGTTTTAGTATAGTTCTTTCAGATAATGGAAAAATTACTTACAATGAATTCTTCAGCATCTGGCCTAACTAAAGCAGGTTTCAGTTCCTTTTCTCTTTTCTCCAGCTCTTTTGTACGTTTATATTGCTGAATTTTACGTTCTCTTACAATGGCTGCATCTAAAACATTATGAGCGTGAGATGAGTTTTTGACACTGCTATCTCCATTTTCCAGTCCATCTTCCTCAAAATCTTCAGGAAGTTCAACTGTACAAAGTTCATAGTTTCTACATCTAAGTAAGAAATCCTTAAAATATACCTGTAGATAAACACATAAAACTAATGTTTAAATTTTGAAAATAGGAAACTCTAAAGCAAATATGATACATATTGATAAAATATAATTTTAAAATGCTTTTTTTTTAATTATGCTTTTGTTGATACAGTACAAAGTCTTTAATCCGGACGTCCATAATCTGGACCTCAAAGCTACAAACTTTCTGCGCATGCGTATAATTCCTTTATGCATGCGCGTTTAATGTATAATGGACAATATAAGCTAAGCTAAATTTATCTAATTATCTATTTCAGTTAATGTTGCAGATTGCGTTGTTTCTTAATCTTCTAATTGGATCCAGCTTATTATTTTCTGCAGACTGTTAGCGCAATTTTATAAAAAGTAAGCTTGAACTTTCGATTATGTCAAAAAGAGTTTCCGATTCTGGAGCTGCCAAAGGATCTACAAAGCGAAACCATGTTTCGATGTACCGCTTCCGATAGTGAAGAAAGTGACAGAGAGGTTATTGAAAACGAAAAAATTTCGATTGACAAGTTAGTCGGTATTCTCGACACAGCAATTACAAGACTTGAACAGTGGAACTGACACAAGAAATTATGTCTGTTTATAAAATTAAAGAGAAAGTATTAGCACAAAAAATGAAGCAACTTAAACATCTTGCATTGAAAGAAATGTTTAATAAAGTAAACAAATAAATATTAAGGTTTTCTTTTTTTGGAAATTTTGATACCCTTTAGATCATAATTGCTCTTTATTTCATAAATTATGGTTTCATATTTTTAATTTATAATTTCTGTATGCCATGAATTTAAATCTTCCAGAATCGCCAAAATCCCGACGAATCCGAATTAAAGAATTTGTACTGTATATAATTGTGCTATCTGGCTGTTTTCAAGAACGCATTATGTTTCCAACAAATATAAAACAGTAATAAGACACTAAATGTTTCCATGTAAAGTGGTCTTGATTGGTATTTTCTCACCAGAGGTCACACTGTATGCAGATCACAATACATCAAATACATCTATAATAACATCAACTAGAAAAAAGTTTATCTGACAAGTAAGGTCTCCAGACCTTGAGTTCTCAGTTTTTTAAACATATATACAGTCAAAAGTCTTTAATCCGGATGTCCATAATCCGGAATGATCTATAATCCGGACCTCAAAGCTACAAACTTTCTGTGCATGCGTAAACACATAATACCTTTACGCATGCACATAATACATTTACGCATGCACGTTTAATGTATAACGGGCGGTATAAGCTAAGCTAAAATTATATAATTATCTATTTCAGTTAATGCTGCAGATTGCGTTGTTCCTTAATCTTCTAATTGGATCCGGCTTATTAATTTTTGCAGACTGTTAGAGCAATTTTATAAAAGTAAGCTTGAACTTTCAATTATGTCAAAAAGAATTTCCGATTCTGGAGCTGCCAAAGATCTACAAAGCGAAAGCATGTTTCGGTGTCCATCAAACAAAAAGTGAATTGCTGCAAAAAATGGATAAAGGCATATCCTTTGTTTCTTTAACCATTCTGAAATCTGTTTATCAATTTCACGCTGTTCTGCGGGGGTGGGAGTGGGGGTGGAACGTCGCGGTGCGCAATGAACTGGAAGTTGATCTGTCAGCACTATCGTTATCTTCAGGGTAGATGTTTTTATCTTATTTGGCTTATAATTCCTTACTAAATGTAGTATTTCATCTCGATGTACTCAATCTTTGATATGATTTAAATCAAATTCCTCATCATTATAAATATCACGAATACAAATCAAATAGTTTTCTGGTTGCAATTTTCTAATTTCGGCTATGCGTAATGTATGCTTTACGCATGCACGTGTTGAAAGAAATGTTTAATAAAGTAAACAAATAAATTAAGTGGTTTTTTTTTTTTTTTTTTTTTTTTTTTTTTTTTTTTGTAAATTTTGATACCCTTTAGATCATAATTGCTCTTTATTTCATAAATTACAGTTTCATATTTTTAATTTTATAATTTCTGCATGCCATCTTACCAGATTTAAACTGATGAACTATAATCTGGAATCGCTGAAGTCCCGACGAGTCCGGATTAAAGACTTTTGACTGTATATATATATATGAAGTCATTCATCTAGAAATGCATAAGAGTGAAAATTTGAGACAATGCTCTTCTATAAATAAGCAGTTAAAATTTTTTTATCAAAAAATGAGGTTTGGCAATATTGTTCTTCCGAAAATGTTCAAAATGTAATTTACTGATAAACATCAATGAGTTGCCTTTTCAAGAAATTAAGACATAGAATTGTAGATGGAGAGATAAAAAGAGAAAGATTCATATTTGGACAGCACTATGCAAACTTAAAATGAATGAATGACAAAAACTGATGCAAGTTTAATTTTTAAAAACTTAGGCCAAAATACAAGAAATTATAAAGGTCATTTACCTTACTGTAGAAAAATGCTTCACACTGCTGTCATTTTAGCATGCTAAAAATAGCATTACTTTATGCAATAATAAATATGCTGACAAAATGTATAACACAGATTAAGTTGAAACTAAAAAAATATTATTGCAGTAAATTGCCTTATATCAGCTGCATTTATTGAGCTGAATCAAATTACAAATTTCAGAATGCAATCAGTGGCTGGAAAATAAAGCTGTTGAATGTTTGTAGTTCAACCTAAGTTTACATCCCAGTGACCAGACTGGCTGCAAGAGACTTTTTGTGGGTTTTTTTCCATATGCAGCAAGAATATGAGCCAATTTTATTTAAAATGTTCTGTTTCCTTTATACAAGACTTTTAGACCTCTTTTTTCCCAGTAATATAAATAATGCAAATTATTATTAACTTGCCTAAATTTATTTTGAACACACTCTAAGTTATATTTCACCTTATTTCACTTTATATTATGTCATAATTATTTGACCACCTTTTTTTTCTTACAGTCTTAGTCTCCCTCAGGGGAAGTTACTGGCTTATTGAAAGAGAATATTTGAAAGCGTTCACTAGATAAAGCAAGTTACTTATTGAGATTTTCATATAAAAAGCCAACTGAAGAAACTTCCCAGGAGTTTGGTACCTTGTCGTGGTCTGAAGGCTGCTCCTTCCAAGAGGGAGGATCAAAATCCAAACTCCAAGTTCAATTGGGAAAACCCCAGGGTCTCAGTTGAATTAGGTCGAAAATGGAAAAATTTGTACAGAGAGACTGTTCCACAAAATGAGTTGACTGAAGAAGCTCGTTCGCTAATCAGTGAACTAGATACTTGTTTGGAAGAGGCTTCTAGGGTTACAATACCCATTAGGAAAAAGATTTCAAAATGCAAGAAGCGTTATTTAATTTTATAATTTCACAGGCATTGGAGATTGAAAATTTAAAAGGAAAATTGGCAGTGATACAACAACCACAGCCTATTGAAAGTCCTTTGCAGTCACAGTGAAAGAATACAGATTGGAGAAAAAGATTGTCCAAAAGCAGGACAAACTAAAGAAAAAAAATGAACATATTGCATTGTTGTATCCTAAAGTAAAAGGAATATCTTCAGAAGAAGTAAAGATGAAAGTCGTAGAGGCAATAGATCCAGTCAAACTAAAAATTGGAATTAGAAATGTCCAAAAAATAAATAAAGGAGGCATTGTAGTTGAATGTTTAAATCAAGATGAAGTTCTTTAAAGAATTTAAGAGGAGTTCAGATTAACCTACATCATTGAAGAACTGCAGTGTCTCAACTACAACAAAGGACTTTAGAGCAAAATTATTCTTTTGCTTTCATTCAAGAACCATATCATCTGAATAACAAAATAAAAGGGTTCTCTTTGCAGTATAGATTGTATTATGCTAATAAAGCTATTCCTCTTGAAAGAAAAGTTATATTTGATAAATCTATTTTGGTTATTAAAATTTGTGTTTCAAATTGTATAGTGGCATTAAAGATTAATTATAGTTTGCAATATTTATTATTAATATCAGCCTATTGTCCTCCAAAAGCTGATTTGAATGCTATTTCAAGGATTCTGCTAAAAGAAGAGAATAAAGTGATTTTAATTGGTGCAGACTTCAATGCCAAGAGCAAAATCTGGGGTACTCAAGAAGAAGATCTAAGACAAAAGATTGTTTCAGAATTTGTAAATTCACATGGTCAGTGTATATTGAATAATGCTGATTCTTCTCCGACATTCAAGGACGCAAGAGGATATTCATGGATAGATCTAACTATTGTAAATCTACCTCAATTCGTAGATTGGAAAGTTATCGTGTAGTGATCATAATTACATTGAGATGATTTAGGAAATATTAAATATTCTCCTCTGCTTAAAAAGAGATATAAACTGAGCAATTTGAAATGGATAGATTTCAAAAGAGATGTTTTAATATTCTTGGAAGAATTAGTTAATAAACCATTGGATGGTTCAAATGTAGAGAAGACAGTTGAATATCTTACAAAAGAACTTATAAATACCTGTGAAAAGAATAGAATAAAAAAAAAATTTTATTCTAGAAAAAGTAATTCAATTTGGTAGAGCAAGAAACTAGACCTTTTAAATTGAGAGTGGGAAGAAGAAGATTTCTTCAGGCTTCTAATGAGAGTGACAAAACATTTCTGAAAAATAAATATAAAAATTTAAGAAGGATTTATAAAAAAGAAATAAATTTAGCAAAGAATCATTCATGGAATGATTTATGTATCCAGACCAATTTAGATCAACCTTATGGTATTCCCTATAAAATTATAATGGGAAGGTTTAAGTTGTCATTGACTTTGAGTCATCTTAAGAAAGAAGATGGCATGTCTACTAGTTCAATTTAAAAAACGATTGATTATCAAGTTAAGTTTCTTTTTACAGATGATATTTCTGAAGAAGATGCAGAATTCCAAAAGGATATAAGAAGAAATTATTTGAATTATTCAAGTGAAAATAATGATTTGGAATTTACAGAAGATGAATTACTAGAAGTAATTGAGTCGATGAATAAAAGTTGTGCTCCTGGAACTGATGAATTAAGTTTGGATACAATTCAAGATGTTATAAAATTGG